GGCCCGGGGGTGGGCGCGGCGGAGCAGACCCCGCGCAAGAGGCTGCGGTGAGCTAGGTGAGTCGGCGCCCGGGGACGCGCGCGGGGGCGCCCGCGGCCGCGCTGACCGCCCCTCTCTCCGCAGTTTAGAGCCCAAAGAGCCCCGAGGGAGCCTGTCGGGGCAGCGGACACGTTGAGGGGCGCTGGGCCTCGGCTGGGACCGTTCATGTAGCAGCGACCGGCGGCGGCTGCCGGAGAGCAGCGTTCGGTTTTGTGTTTAAAGTTTGAAAACTGTGCAATGTATGAGTAACGTCTTTTTATCTCTAAATGTATCCCAGCACGAGGAGTACACTGGTCCCAAGGTGTAAAGCTTTAAGAGTCATTTATATAGAATGTTTAATCTCTGCTGAAACTCAGTGCAAAAAGAAAAAGCAGCAAAAAAAGAAAAAAAAAGGAAAAAAGGAAAAAAAGAAAAAAAAAGGAAAAAATAAAAAAAACCATGTATATTTGTACAAAAAGTTTTAAAGTTATACTAACTTATATTTCTATTTATGTCCTGGCGTGGGCCGCTCCACCACAGAGAACTTGGTCATTGGCTATGCCAAAGTGTGCCCACCATCAGCACCCGGTCATCCACAGCTGTAAATCTCCCACTCGCGGAATCTGGGGAAGGGGTCACTCACGCTGTAGCTGCGTACATGCCCAAATCGCTTGCTGTCTCTTTGCGCTTTCGCTGTCTCTTCTATTATTACTGTGTTTATTTTAAACTTGAAGACAAATCTGTAAAAAATGGTTCCTGAGCCGTCTGTACCACTGCCCCGGCCCCTCGTCCGCCGGGTCCTAAATAAAGAGGCCGAAATAATGCTGCAGCCCCAGTCTGTGTGTACTTGTCCACGCTCCAGCCCCTTCCCCTGCACCCCGAAACACGGGGGAGCCGGGGTTGTGGGAGAGAGTGGACCACAGGGGCCACCCCGTCCATCCAAGAGGGGGCCGTGTCCCTTCCGGCCGGCCTGGCCCGTGCCCACCTGCCTCAGGCCCCTGATAGAGCCAAGACTGGCCTGGCCTGCTCCCTGCGTGTGGCAGTCATCCCCCTGCAAAAGTCGCCCCCCCAACCCCCGTGGGTAGGCCGGGAACGCAGCCCCTAACCTGCCCCAAGGAAACCCCCCGCTCCTAGTACCCGACTGATGGGCTCAGGGCATTCCAGGATACACATGAGTGGAGGTGGGGATTGGGGCTCTGGGGAGACCTTCGGGGGTTCCAGGACAGCAGCACTCCTGAATTCTTCACACCCCGCATCAGGGTCCTCAGCCTCGTGGGCTGGGGTCTCCCAGGATCGGTTTGAGACCAAGTGTTGCGGCCTATTTGCGCTCGAAGTGAGCGCCGGTGACCTTACTCTCTGTGCGGGGCAACAAGGTGGGGGTGCCCTGGGGCCAGGATGGCGTGTGGAGGGGTGGGCTCTGACTGGGTTTGGATCGGAGAATTCAAGGCCGTGTGCCCCCCTGGGCGCCCATGCTGCAGCCCCTCCAGCCCTCTCGTTTCAAAGTGCTTCCTTCGAGTTGAAAGGAAAGGTTTATTTTTTTTTATAGCTGACCTATAAACCTCTGAAAATTATGGCTTACAATGGAAAGGGTGACATAAAATAGCAAAAAACAGAAGGGCTCTCGGTGCTTTTGCCAGAGCCTTGGGCCGGGAGCAGGAAAGACCTGGCGGACCCTCACGGAGCTGTACGTGACTACCCTGGCTTCCCCCCAGGGCCACGGACGAAGGGGGGGCCCAGCTTGAGACCTTCAAGATGAATTTCGACATCTATGATTAACTTAAGCCCCCGATGCCTATGGGGGCCGGGGGAAGGAGGGAGACGTGGGGGCCCCAAGGCCCCAGCCATGTCCCCAGGACCCGGGATGGAGCCTGTGTGGCCCTCACTTCAGACTGCAAACCTCTTCGCTCTGAGAGAGCTCTCACCACAACCACCTGTGTGAACAGGACAAAGCTCTTCCCTCTCTGAGACAGGGGAGGACTGGGGGCGCCTCTGCAGTGGGCAATGGCGGCATGAGCCTGGGGAGGCTGGATCGGGCTCCTGGCGGGCAGCCGGTGGGCACACAGATGGCTCAAGCTAGTGACCATTACCAGAGACCGAGTCGGTGAGGTGGGGCCTCACCCAGCCACGGGCGGGGCCGGCCAGGCGAACGTACTTGGCTCTGCTCACAGCCCTGGCCCCTGGAGATGGGGACGTGTGGGTGCGGTCCCCAGCTGCCCAGCTTCCTGGTGTCATCAGGGGTGGCTTTCTCAAGAGCAGTGCTAGGACTGCGTGGGGTCGTGAGGCCCGGTGCTGCTTCTCAGAGGAGTTTTCTCCAGGGCAGGAACCCACCAGGCCGCCCTCCCAGGTTTCAAGTCGCTCACGTGACTCCAGCCACGTGTGATCCCAAGCAAGGCTTGCTTTCTCTGGGGGCAGGGGAGGCTCCGTTTCCCCATCTGGGCTGAGAAATGTCTAAGGTTCTGGTGTCCTGTGATTCTCCGATGAGGACAGTTGTGGAAAACCACAGCCTGACGACGCTGTCTGCAAAGCTTTTTCCTCACCTGTGCTGTTTGTGGAGCGAGGGCACGAGCATGTGCCCCAGCCCCCAGGCCTCACCACGCCCAGAGCCTGGGCACTCACCAGCGGCCAGGACACACATAGGGCTGCCCTCTGTGGGAGACTGACCCAGCTCCCCTGAGGGTCCATGATCATAACAACAGCAGGGTCTGGGCCCGGTGGCTCGTGCCTGTCACCCCAGCATTTGGGAGGTCACGGTGAGAGGACTGCTTGAGCCCAGGAGTTCAAGACCAGCCTGGGTAACGTAGCAAGACCTCATCTCCACAAAAAATGTAAAAAGGCCTGGTGCGGTGGCCTGTCATCCCAGCACTTTGGGAGGCGGAAGCGAGAGGACTGCTTGAGCTCAGGGGTATGAGACCAGCCTGAGCAACTTGGTGAGACCTCCTCTTTACAATAAATCAAAAAATTAGTTGGGTGTGGTGTGGTTCCGGCTACTTGAAAGGCTGAGGTGGAAGAATCGCCTGAGCCCAGCAGGTCAGGGCTGCAGTGACCGTGAGTGTGCCACTGCACTCCAGGCTGGGCAACAGAGTGAGACTTCAATTCCAAATAACAACAACAACAATAATAATAATTTAAAAAGTTAACCGGGCGTGGTGATGTGTACCTACAATCCCAGCTACTTGGAAGGCTGAGGTGGGAGGATCCCCTGAGCCCAGAAGGTAGAGGCTCTGGTGAGCCATGATTGTGCCACTGTACTCACTCCCGCTTGGGCAACAGAGTGAGACGCCGATTCACAAACAAAAAACAGGGACACCATGACAGCCAGTCCATCGTTCTTCCAACCCCCACCACCTCACCTCCAGCCCCTCCGGCCCACGTCCCACAAACCCTCCAGGTCTCAGGGCCTTTGCACGACCTGTTCCCCCTGCCGCCCCACTGGCCCTCCCAACCAGGCCGCATGCTGGAGGCTGGAGCAGGGAGCTTCCTGGCATGGCCTATTTTCCCCAGGAGCCTACGGCTCACAGTCCGGCATATGCTGAGCTGGGTTGTTCTCCTGCAAGGTTCCACTGTGTCCCCCGCTGGAGGAGGAAACGGAGGCATGGAGTAACCCACCTGAGGTCACGCCACCGACCTTGGCCGGGCAGAGGGATTTGGGGCTGGGTCGCTCTGGGGCCCGGCCTGGAAGCCGCTGGGCTCTCCTGTCCCACAGGCCGGGCTGGGAAGACAGGCCGTCTTCCATGAACCTGCTGCACACCACACCAGCCAAGCCGTCCCGCAAGGGCGCTGCTGGGGCGGGACTGCCCTGGCCAGCAGGGGGCAGGTGCCCTAGCTGGGTACCAGAGAAGCCGAGAGGACAGCCTGGACAAAGGTTGTGCGGGAGGCCGGGGGGACAGGATGAGGCGGGGGAGAGCAGTGAGGGTGGACCTCAGTGGGGCTGGCTGCGTGGGTGTCAGGCCAGCACGTGGGCTCAATGGAGGGCGCCTTCGGGGAGCCTGCAGGCCTCCCTCCCTGCCGACCTGTCCTGCTGGTCTCCTGTGCCTTCCTGGGCCCATGGTCGGGTGTTGTCTGCAGGTGGTGGGAGCCCCTGGAGGGACTGACGCAGGTGGCTGGGTGAGAAGGAGGGACCCCGGCGAGGGGGCGGCAGGGGAGGGGGAGGCCGAGAGGACACGGTGGCCATTCCACAAGAAGATGGAGGGACTGAGTTCGGCAAACATTCCGAGAGCCCCCCGCGCGCGACTGTTCTAGGTACCAGAGACTCAGCAATGAATGACACGCACGCCCTGCTCCAGGGGTGTTCTCCGGTGAGCTGTGGGGTGTGGGAGGGGGTGAGGTCGGGGTAAGAGTCGGGTAAGCAGGCTCCTGGGTAAGACAGGCCATGCCGGGAGGCTCCCTGCTCCAGTTCCCAGTGCACGGCTTAACGGGGAGGGCCCGTGGGGCGGCAGAGGGAAAAACCCTGAGGCCCTGAGGCCTGGGGGGTGCGTGTGATGTGGGGTGAAGGGGTGGGAGGTGGGCTCGTGGGAGTTGGAAGAACAATGAGATATGTTGGGTGAGGGGAACTGCCGGGACCTGCTGATAGGGTGAGGTGGGTGAGGGAAGACAGGAACCAGGAGGCCTCGGAGGGTCTGTGGGAGGGGGTGGGGTCCTTCTCAGAGCAGAGGAGGCCTTCCCAGAGAAGGAGGAGTCAACGAGTCAAAGCTTGGGGCATACGCTGTTTTTATTTTATTTTATTTTGAGTTGGACTCTCACTCTGTCGCACGCTCATGGCCACCCCAGCGTCGACCCACCGGGCTCCAGCGATCCTTCCGCCTCAGTCTTCCAAGTAGCCAGAACCATAGGCCCACCTGGCTACCACGCCTGGCTCATTTTTGATTTATCATAGAGATGAGGTCTCGCCAAGTTGCCTAGACTGGTCTCGAACCCACGGGCTCTGGCAATCCATTCACCTCGGCCTCCCAAAGGGCTGAGATGACAGGCTGAGCCACCGAGCCCAGCCGGTAGGGACATACATCTCACTCCTGCCCTGGTCTCCACTCCCAGCCAGGCCCTATGAACCCTAGGACACAGGCTTGTTTGTTTGTTTTAAATTGGGGTCTCTGTGGCCCAGGCTGGAGGGCAGTGGCACAATCACGGCTCACCGCAGCCTCAACCTCCTGGGCTTAGGCGATCCTCTCTCCACAGCCTCCCAAGTCACTGGGTCTACAGGCGCCCCCACACCCCACTAATTATTATTATTATTTTTGCAGAGATGAGGTCTCACTATGTTGTCCAGGCTGGCCTCGAACAGCTGGGCTCAAGCAATCCTCCAGCATTGGCCTCCCAAAGTGCCAGGATGACAGGCATGAGCCCCACACCCGTCCAGGGACATGGGCTCGTTCTCTCAACAGCCCCAGCAGCAAGACGTGAGCGCGGCGAGGCTTGGAAAGGACCCTCCTCTCAGCCCTGATGGTTTGCCCTGTTGCTGTCTGAGGAGCAACGTGCTGTTGTTTGTTTTCAGGTTGGGATTCACTCGTTTTTTTGAGTCAGAGTCTCACTCCATCGCCCAGGCTGGAGGGCAGTGGCACGCTCACGACCACCCCGGCGTTGACCTGCTGGGCTCCGGCGATCCTCCTGCCTCAGCCTTCCATGTAGCTGGAACTACAGGCGTGCGCCACCACGCCTGGCTAATTTTTTATAAAATTTATTGTAGAGATGATGTCTCGCCAAGTTGGCCAGGCTGGTCTCGAATCCATGGACTTAGGCAATCCCCTCACCTCGGCCTCCCAAAGTGCTGGGATGACAGGCTTGAGCTACTGCGCCCGGCCTGGATTCACTCTTATCAGCTGAAGTCTTCA